AGGCGGAAATTATGTGTAAGAAGAAGATGTGTTAATCGAACGTTTATTTTCATAAATTTCATTCTACTTCAATCTTGAGGAAGCACCACATTCGGGAAGGTCTCTTGTAATGATGTGGATAAAATAAAGTCATTGTTCGCTGCAAATCTTTGCATAACAACGCGAGAGATCGCTAAAAATTTAAATTTGTCTTATTTAATTAAATGTTTTACACAAGAAAAAATGTTGAGTTGCCATTTGTTGAAGTGATCCTGGAAGGAACTAAATAGATGATGACGACTCAAAAACGAATTGGCAGCATCTTAATGCTAATGGTCGATTACCGAGAAGTTGTGCCTTTTGAATTCCTTCCGCCATGTCAAGCCGTCAACCGTCAACACGAAGTATTAGTTAATTGAACTGATGGCGGTCAGGTGCTTGAAGATAAGAGGTCTGTTTGCTTGACATCTACCTTTTACAATCAAGCTCCGTATGACTTCTGCCAACTCAACAAACTCGAAATATAGCTACGGAGCAGTCGGGTTGGAGTAGATTGAGGAGATTTAAAAAAAATAGCTGAAGGTGGTGAAGGCCATTCCGGTAGAAAAATATAAAAAAAATGTTTCGAGATTTAGAAAAACGTTGTCATGTATTTTGAAAGGGATTAAATCGACTTTTAATTGAAAGAAAATTTCTGAGCTTAGATGAAGTGACAAATTTTGTGATAAGATATTTGACGAAATATTTATGATCTTAACTTATAATCAGCTGATTACTGACTTTAAAATGATTTCCATTTAGCTAAAACTCTATACAGTGTTTGCGAAGACTGTCAAGAATTCACATTGCCTTTGGCCTACGAGTTTCGTTGAGTAGTCTATTTGGTATGTCTATCAAAGCAAAATTAAATTTGAATTGGATTTGGAACAACTTAAATTATTTTTCCCGCAAAAATCTGGTGCCGAAAGGTCTAAATAATTTTTTAACAGTAACAAAATATTGAATCTGCAACCCAAAAAAAAAAAATATTTGAAAAAAAAATCATTTTGTCTGTATTCAAATGTTAAATTTATGATCGTAGTCTGGTACTTGCATCCTTTTTGATGCTTTTTTGGGAACTTTTTTTTTCGAAAAATAAATTTCAATCAGCTCAATATAATAGTGTCGCGAAACGTTTAAAACAATTTAATTTCTCTGTTTTTTCAATGTTTTGTTTCCTTTGAAGTGAACAGAAGTGAACGTCTCAAAGAAAAAGTTGATGATTGGCAATGGTTATTTGGTCACTTGAGTACATCCAAAATAGAAAAATCGAAAATATTATTTTTTCTGTGATCTTGTCATTCTAGGTGGAATTAGGATTAATCAATTTCGTTGTCATTCTGGCCAATCGAGTGAACGTTGTTTCGTGACCGAAGACAAAGAGACGCTCATGTAGAGGAACTATAATTCTGTCAATATTTCGAACTTCGTACTAAAAATTTTGCATTATATTCTAAATATAAAGTACTCCTACGTTAAGTAATCATTTTTCGAAAGCTTAAATTTTCGTATTCCAAAGCAGCTTAGAAATTCTCGTTAAGTACATTTTACTTGCAATCATATTTGGTTAACAACTTTATAATAAATTTCAACCATGAAATCTGATGCCTTCACACACAGGTACGCACAGGCAGATCACGACTGCAACCTCAACCTGAACAACACAGGTCAGCTATGCGCTGCGCTCTTCTTGCCCCCAAATTTAATTCTCATTTTTTCACTCTTTCATCAACTCTGTGGAATGCTGCAACAGTAACATCATCACCATCCTCATCATCATGCGGGCGTTCAAATCGCGCTACATTACTGCTAATTGGATTAAGATGTTTTACTCCTAAGCCTTTCAAACAAATTGTGGCAACATTAAAGTGCGCTGACTGCTGTGGCGCGTCTGTCTGTCCCAAAGGACACACAGACATATTTATACTCGTCTTATATGTTTCACTGTTATTTAAAACACACACAAAACAGTCAACACGCAGCGGGTCAGAAGGACTGCATCACGCTGCCACCGAGCGCACTCGCAAGCTGCTAAAAGGATTAAAATCCGGAGCTAAATTTTTGCTACTTTACGTCAAAAACGGACTTAGAGAGTAACAGAACAAAATAAATGCAAAAAAAAAGTGTAACAACATTAATGCAGGAAGTGCAAATAAACAGTGACAACAAAGAGGCGGCAGAGATGCCAACGACAGCGGATGTACAGGCAGTGAGGCCAAAAGGAGTGGAGCAAGGCAAAAATAAAACACGCAAGTATTTTCAGCTCTTGGTACTGTGCAACGTCAACACTGTGCGCAAAGCAAAATAAAGATTAAAAAAAAATATCGGTAGTTACACCGTTCAGGGTTGAGCAGGCACAGTGGAGGTTGATGATGACGCTGCACTTTCCGTGCGCTGTGTGGTCCCAGCGTGCTCCGGCAATGCGTCTAACAACTTATTCATTTGTGCTTGCTTTCAACTTTTACTGCCGTCGGACCTTAACTCTGCTGTTATGTTTTGTCCGTTTTCTATTTTTGTTTTACATTTTTTTATAAACTATCGCTTTTTCTGCACACTTTTTCATCTTCTACGTTCCTTTTGCTGTTTATTTTCTTAAACATCGTATTTATTTATTTTTTTTGGTGGCAGCTATTTCTGTTTATTTACGCTTATCCATCACCTTTTCCCATCACAGCGCCAGTTGTCGTCTAACGTTTCTGCTCGGTCAAAGTACGTTTTGTGGCATACTTTCGGGCTGTAAAGCATGTGATTTGCCAGGTAAGTTGACGAGCTGACAGCGTATGCTTATTGTATGTGAGGAAAAATCGATTATTTTTGTGTGTGCGAAAAGGAAAAGCAAAGTATGTACATAAAGAGTAAAGCATAAAATTAAAGTGGAAAAATCGTTTGATGTAATGGGGAAGAAAAGGTTCGACTTTAAAAAGAAATTTATTAGAAAAAATTTAATGATGTTAAGGAACTGTTGGTTTCAAGGTAGTTGAATTGGAAAATTAAGGTAAGTTTCTGCTGAACTTTATGGACAATTATTTATTTAATTATTTATTCTTTTCTTAATTAATTTAATCATTCATTTAATTTTTTATTAATCAACTAACAAACTTATTTTTTTTCCAATTTATTTATATTATAATTAATTTCTTTTTTATAATTAATTTAAGTTTTTATTTCTTATTTTAATTAACTAAATTTTTAATTAGTTTATTTAGTTTTATACATAAGTAATGATTTATTTCTCAATTTTCATATAATTATTTATTCTTTTAATATTTTTTTTGGTTTTTGTTTGCATTCTAATTTTTTTTTTTCATATTTCTAACTATTTTTTTATTTACCCTTTTACTCATTAGGTTAATTATTTTGTTTCATATTTATTTATTTCATTATTTTTTTTTACTTATTTGCTTATCAATTTATTCGATTATTTCTAAGTTCACACTTATAGTAATATATTTATTTTTTAGTTGTTTATTTTTTAATTTTTTTAATTATTTATTTATTTATGTAACTTTTTATTTAATTAATTTTCTTTTCTATCTAATCTTTTTAACAATTTGTTTATATCTATATAATTATTTAACCCTTCAGCTTAATTTTTCAGCTATTTTTCCCTAATATATTTAATTTTAAAATTATTTTTCAATTCTCTTTAAATTCTTTTACATATTTACTTTATTCATTTATTTACCTTTACAATTTTCAATAAACTTTTTATTTTGCTATCGTTTGATAGGTTGTGTATCTATTTAGGCGCAGTAATTATCTTAAACGTAAAACTAACACTTTTTCGCCTTAAACAAATTCTTCCGTATTATTTTTTATTGAATTCATTTATTTGGTAGCTAACTAGGGATATATTTGCAAAAGAATCAATCATTTGATTTTTATATAAAAATTTGTTCATGCCCAAAAGTATGCAACATATATTTTTCAGCATAAGACAGTAAAGTAAGAGAAAGAAGGCTCAATTGCATATCACCAAAGTTGATAAGCACTTTTTTGCGGTTATACTAAAAATATCAGCAAATAATCATCAATATCATACATCCTAGCTTCTCATTTTAACTTTTGAACTTAACGCCAAATTGTATGCTTTAAACTGCAACAGATATATTTGAGGTATAAGCTCAATTTCTCGACAAATCTGTTGAAAAAAAAACTTTCCAATAATTTTAGTTTCACTGCTAGGGTTCGGAAACTTAACAGCGGCTTGCCATTTTTTCTTTATTTTTAATATCAAACCGCCTAAAATCAAACTTTTGCATATTGAATGTGTTTGTAATTCGACTGAAAAAGTTTTTTATTAGTAAAAATTGATATAGTTGCTTAAACAATCATATCAGGTGCTCGAAGAATATGAGTATGAAAATGTGTTTCATAAATAATTCTCAAATGATTTTGATTTGTTTATAAAACGTTGAATATTAGGATTGTGCAGCACTAATTTAGGCGCACTATTCCACTTTTCCTTCCATTAACTTTTTATTTAGTTTATGCAAGCAAAACAGATAGTATTCGGTTGGTAGAAGCAAAAAATGTTTTTGACACATTTAAGCTACTTTAACAAATAGCCAAAAAAATATTTTGTTCACATAAAATATATGAAATCGTTAGAGGATACCATAAGCTCTAACGAATTTTTATAGATATTAATATTATTAATATATTAAAGTTATAAAAAAGGGTCTTTTTATAACAAGTAAATCTACATCCTGAGGCATCATGTGGCATAAAAATATTTAAACTGCTTTATTCTGACACTTTCAGAAAAAAACGCACCGTAAAAAAACAAATATATTTACATTTATAATCAAATTAAATTCGCATTACACAATCACCGCACATGCAGACACCTAAATGTATGCAACGTTTTTTTTTTTGAACCCCAAAACGCTTAGGCTTAACATCAAAAAAATTATGTAATATACTTAAGAATATCTTAGTTTAGAAGATAGCTTAACATAAGCCATTATTATCGTACTAACCGGAAAATGGAAGAAAACAAACGGAAAAAACCGTAACTATTTCACAACGTTTTCCTCCGACTTTGCGTGGGCTCACTTCACCTCACGTTGCATATGCACCAACCGAAAGAAAAAAAAAACTTATTTTTTTTTTTTTTTGTTAATGACTTCACTGTACTTTTTGGTCGCTTACAAAAAACGTTTTACCGTTATAGACAGCAAGCATCAAATCACCATATCAATGAATAGAGTTAGAATAGAAAACAATACAATGGGGTTTTACAGCTATCCCGCTTCGTTCTACTTCTTGAACAGAAAACAATTTTTTTCTATACGAAATAATCAGTTTTCAACTTGATTGCTCGCTTTATTTTAGTTGATTTTTATTTTTACTTTTTATTTTTTGCTGTTTTCAAAATTCAATTTGCGATTACTTCACACGCTTTCAATTAGTTTGTGTTTTATTGGCTTGCTGTGTATGCCAAGCAGCTGTGTAGCTCGTCGATTGCGTTTAGAGACGATTCGGTCGGTTTGCGATACTTCGAGTTTACGCTATGCGCTGTGCGCCGTGCGATACACTTTTCTGTCTGTCTAACACTGTGCTTCTGAGGCTATATGCCGCCGCCGCTGCTGCTGCTGCTGCTGCTGCTGCTTCGTTCGCACTCTTTTACAGCCTACCAAACTGCAGGTATGAGTGTATGTATGTGGCGCTCGCTGAAACTAAACGGCGAACTAGCGGGCATAAATACATATGTACAAACTTAAATACAAAAGGACAAATATGTGTGTGTGTGTCTGTGTGGGTTATTTCGTTGTATGCCCGATAGTCTCACCGACGCCGATAAGCGGCTGTTACTCGGTATTGCACCGACAGAGAGATGGTACCTATTGGGACGCGACAGCTACAGGAACGATAACTTCGACGACCATGACAACAACAGCGTACACAAACGCAAGCCCTTCCCGTCGGCACCCATCAACGCCATCGTCAACATCGTTGGGGAAAATCATCGCCGAAGCGTCGTCGTCGTCAAATGCTGTCGCATTTCAATTGCATGCTCATCGTTCAATAGCGCGCTTTCGTACCAACGACGTTCGTTTTAGACGCCGCATGTTCGTGTGTGCGACGCTGCGGTGCTTAAAAAAAAATAAATTAAATAAAATACATATCAATTGGAATGAAATCAGGCTATTCGCAGCTTCGAATAGCGTTGGCGTCAACGTTTGGCCAGCGTACGCTTCGCTTGCACGTGGAGCCATTCCAACACTCGACATTTCGACGCCTGGACGCCTACAAAGTCGCATGCCGATACACTCGTATGTTTCTAGTAACATAAACAACAACAAGGCGTTTGACAATGCCGAAACGCATGAGACAATTTTGGAAAAAATGAAAACAATGTATTTTGAGTAACTATGCTTTGGCCCTCTCGCGCTCTCACTTGCCTCTCTTGGCTTATCACCTTAATACCTTATATTTAAGAGTAAGAGAGAAAGCATATTAGTTTTGAGTTTATAGCGTTATGTTGAAGAGAGACAACTGCTTTCTCTGCTTTTTGTTTTGTTCAAAATCTTTTTTCACTCCTCTCAGTCGTGTTATCATACCAAGTAAGCACGCAATCATGCATAGAACTACACTCGCGTTCTCACTCAACCACTTTTGAAATGAATTTTATACCAAAACCCGACTTTTCTTTCACTCAAGCTATTTGCAGTGGTACAAATTCATTTTTGTGCTCAACTCAAATTTTGTGAGTCAATAAAGAGTGGTTTTCATCACGCTCAATGTTGAGTTGTTTTGCTTGTTCTTTTTACCTACAAACGAGTCTTCTAAGGTAAATACTTCTAAGGATCAAAAGTTGATTTTTAGGTGGAGCAATTTTCTTCCGATAAGTCGCATTATCACATGTGTATATAACTTATATGCTCTCGAGCTGCAGATCGGAGCAGAGGTTTCAATGAAGTCTTACTTCACTTGTTATTTAACAGAGCGCCGTCCTTAGAGCTTGGTACTCGCAAGTTAAATACACTTGTAATTTAAAAAAAATAAATTTTTTCGGATAACAAAGACCATTTAAGTAAACTATCCAAGGACTATCGATTGTGAGTTTGTATAGTTTGGTCGGCATCGCACCTGTTATCGTAAAACCTAAATCTGACATCAAGTTATAATAACAAAGCAGGCCAGGAAACGATGAGGTCCTTGTGATCTATATACAGCAGCGAGCGTACAAAAGATCGTAAATTCGTTAATGTATTTGTACAAGAAGAGGATTTCTGTTAAGCTCTAATCTTATATATCTTTTAAGTCCAACTCATAGTTGAAGGATTTTTAATAGCATAATGCCAAACCGTGTTATGGTTTATGCTTACTACTCACCAATACGAACTAACAGATGATATAGGAGCGAGAGGGATCTTTTACTGCAAATGCGCTATATCTTTGATATCATTAAGAAGTTATATCGTCTTGTAAATTTCACTAAAATCTATTTATATTTTTCTCAATCTTTCGAAGGCCTTCATATTTGAAAATATTTTCAAAAAATCTGAAGCAGATCCAGCAATTAGTCTCGGAGATATGAACGTATCTCGTGGCGATTGAAGGCGGATTTGTTTAACTTAGGGTAAAGATTCACAAAATTTTAAATGCGTTTTTCTCGAAACGTTGCTTTCAGAGTCGGTGAGGAAAACTTCCCTGAAACGTATGAAACAATCGGCCTAATATTCGGCCTTCTAAAACATAGTTGTCAGGTAATTATCGAAGGAATAAAAATTTCTACAATAATTTCAATTTTTTGAGCGACTTTGAAGTGTAGAGTTTCTCACCAAAAATTAATTTTTTTTATTTTTGTGGCCGTCATTTTGTCAAAAATCAAAATTTTCGCTATACCTTCGATCACTACTTGTACAGGCATTCAGCACCAATAGTACAAATTTTTTTTTGGTTATCCGGTATCAGAAAATTTTAAGCAGAAATATTTTCCCCATAGTCAGATACCTTGTTTTGGAGGCCCTTTTGAGATTGGTTACAGGCTACAATACACTTTAAGATGAATAAAAACCACTTAAACAACTAAGTTCGGCAAACGAAATAAGACAAATTGTTACAAGAAAAAAATGCTTTTGCTCACAAAAAAAAAGATATTTTTTTTTTTTCAATATTTCAACTTTCATATTAATCCTTTTTTTTAGCTACTGGTTTTTTTTTTATAAATAAAATAATTAATTTCTTTAATTAATTATAAATTATTTTTTTATATGTCTATTTATCGATAAGTTAATTTTATTATTATTTTTGTTAATTTATGTATTTAATAACTTCCTAGTTTATGGTTTCTTTAATGATTTGCTGAAATTTATTATTTTTTATTCATTTATTTATTAATTATAAATATTTTTTATTTATGCATCTTATCATTGAATTGACTCTTGTCATTGAATTCTTCGTATATTTGAATTACTATTTATTCCAATGTTCATTTATTTATCGATAAGTTTACAAAATTTTTTTTTATCTATTTTTAATCCATTTTTTTAGAAACCAGTTTTTTTAATTTGTTTAATTTATTTACTAATTCACTTATTTCCTTAAAAGCTTTGTTCATGTATATTTTTTTTAATTATTTACTTTATAAATTTATGTATTTATTTATTTATGCAACTCTTGAGCTATTCACTTATTGGTTTGTATAACATATAAAATTTGTTGATAACTTGTTTAGTTTTTTTATTATATATTTATTTACTTATTTTTCCACTTATATAAGCACACAGACAAAGTCTTCATTTATTCCTATATTTATTTATTTATCTAACAGTTTATTGATTTGTTTACTTACTGCTTAATAATTTACTTCGTTAATTACTTATTATCGATTTATTTAATTATTTGTATATGTTTATTTATAAAAGTTTATAAAGGAAAAATAAATCTATGATAATTACCTATTGATTGATTTATTTATTTTAGTATTTATTTTTTTTTTTTAATTATAAACTTATGTACTTATGTTCATACTTACTGATATATTTAATTATTTATTTATTTTCTGCTATAATTTTCAATATTTATTCTTTTTAATATTTAAATAATTTGTTTATTTGTATATTAACTTAGTAATATGTTATTTACTCTTCAATTTATTTATTTATTTATTCAATTGTTAATTAATTTTTTTCTAAGTTTTAATTTATTGAATTGATTATTTGTTGCTTAATTTTTAACTTCGTTATTTTCTTATTATCTCTTGAATTTTTTAATTTTTTTTTATATTAATATATGTATATATATATATATATTTCCTTATTTGTGTAAATATTTACTTATATAACTACATATTCGTTAATTACTTATTTTTGTGCTATTTACTTTTCAATTTGTTTATTTGTTATTATTATTTTATTGTTAATTGACTTATTTAGTCATGTATGCATATATTTTTTTTATTTTAAAATTTATTTATTTTTGTATATATCAAATTATTGACTTCGTTACTACGCATTATTTATTAACTGATTTATTTAGTTATTTAATTATTTATTAATTTTTATATTAATTGATTTATTTATTTACTTAATGATTTATTTACTGAGTTTGTTATATATTAATTTACTTATAGTATTTAATTTATTAAATAAATTTATTTTTATTTAATTATCTAGCAAATATTTAAATGATTTTTAACTATTGTATTATCTGCTTTTCAATTTGTTTATATAGTTACTCAGTAAATTATTCAGTTATTTGTCCATATCTTTTTTAAAAATTTAATTATTTATTTATTAATATATTTATTATTAAATTTTATTTTTTTATCTGATTATTGTTATGTTTGTTTATATATTTATTTATATATTAATTATATGTTTATATATTTATTTACTCAATAATTTGTTTAGTTTTTTTTTAATTTAATGATTTGTTTATTAATATATTTATTATTAACTTTTATTTAAATTATTTACTTATCTGATTATTGTTATGCTTGCTTACATATTTATTTATATTTTAATTAACTTTTTCTTTTTTTATTAAAAATAATTTTTCACTTTTTATCAAAAATTTTACAAAAAAGTATTTCAATTAAAATCACATTATTTGAACACCAGCAAACTTTTCCTCATTATTCTGAAAATGATACGCAATTTAAAAAAAAAAACAGCGAACAACAATTACACTTACCCACGACAACTCTTCAAACTTTATGCATTCAAATATATGCACAAGTCGCACACACATATACGCACGCACAAGCCAACAGACTAACACATACAAACAGTCTTATCAGCCTGTGCTTATCAGACTTCAAATGCAGTTACAGCTATAATTTCAGTTGCATACATTTAGGCGTTGTGGTTAGACGCATGCGCAAAGAGAATGAGCGCAGGCACAGCAGTTTGTGGGCTAATGTGTTGTTATGTGGTGCAATATGTTGAACGGATATAGTATTTTATGTGTTGGTACACACGGTATTGATTTGTTATTGTAATTTTTAGTTGTTTTTGCTTGTTACACATTCGCCTATAATGCATATGTGTGTATGTATTTTTTTGTGTTTGTTTGTTCACAAGTAAAATATTGTATTAGTATGTCGAGTGGGTAAACCTATTTTG